TTATATTGGTTTGTTGGCGCCAAGAGCTGGGTGATGTAGTTCCAGGGTGGGGATTGAGTTAGGTCATGGGAATGGAGAGTTCCGTGCATGTGGAAACGCCGGAAGTTTCATTTTCTCTGAAACCATGAGGCTTTTGTAAAAGAGAACAGGGAAGGGGAGGGGAGGAGGTGGCCAGCGTCATTTTGTACTTGCGCTTGTCTAAGATGGCCCTGATTATGTTGCAGATCTATTAAACGTGAGTCAGGAGGGAGCCCCAGCCTTCCCAAGCTGTTCATTAGCAATTAACCTATGTTGAAATACCACCCACATAAAAGTTTCTTCATGAGGAAATAAACTTGTTTGACTCCCAAAGGGAGTACATAGATCTTGATGTAAGTGCAAAGGATACTCAAGCTAAGTACTGGTTTCAGTGAAATTCCACACGTTGAAAAAAAGAAAAAAAGGCTATTGAATTTATATATGTTCTTTTAGAAGTGTTATTCAATAGAGCAATAAATACAAATTATAAGCAGGAACCTGCTCAACTACTCTGGTAAGAACAGAAAAAGTATCTCCTAGGAATGTTTTAGAACAAGGTAGTAGGATACTGAAATCTAGCTCTCTTAAGGAAAAAGGATAAAGCCACTATTTGTTTTTATTAATTATGAACTAATTTCCCTTATTCACCTTGATGACAGAAATGGAAGAAGGGGAAAAGGATAAATACGACCACAACAAACTGAAAGCACATCAGTATTTCATTTGGGTATCTTTATTTGGTTGGTTACCTGGTAGTCATAACTCCAGAAATCACTATCCTCAAAAATACTTAAGTACCTATAATTATGGGTTGTGCTACATATATGATGTAAAACAAGAAGAGTCCGTGCCACCTAGAAATTACTAATTAACTGATAATGCACATCAGTAGTTCATTTGGGTATCTTTATTTGGTTGGTTACCTGGTAATCATAACTCCAGAAATCTCTATCCTCAAAAATACTTAAGTACCTATAATTATGGGTTGTGCTGCATATAGGATGTAAAACAAGAAGAGTCCGTGCCACCTAGAAATTACTAATTAAGTGATAATAAAACAGTGTAGTGTTACCATTATACGCAGCTAGGGAGGCCTGCCAGAATGTGAAGTATTACTGGATTACCATTGAAGCATTAGGGAAGTCATCTATCCACATTAAATGCAAAGTGGGCTAGTAGCAAGCCATTATTCCTCTTGACTGTAATTGAACTTTGCCAGAGAGATGCCAGAAAGGAAAGGCAGCTTTAATCCACTTAAGTTGCCCAGTTTGTTAAAGAACATCTTATCTTCTAAACAAAATGGAAAAACAATAATACACTTAACCATAAATGATACATTTTGATTACTCAATTAAAGAGGTAAGAGTTAATGCTTCCTTAGATGACACCCTCTTACAGAAGAAGCTTAGGTTTAATTCTGAACTAACCCAAAGCATTGTTTGAATTTCACCACAGTATGTTTACATAGTATACAATAAGCAAATTTTTAAAATAGCACTTAAGCAAATATTAGTTCCCACTATTGACTGCTTGTGATCCAGATATAGCCTATACGTTTACTTTATGTTTGCCTGCTTGCTTGATCACAGCCATAATTTTGGGTGCTCTTGAGCAATGTCCAGATGCAACTATGTGACTGTGAGCAGCTAGTGTTATCAAGCTCCCTATTCCTCTTCTGCAGAGTGAGAAAATTGGGTTTCACCTCCAAGGTCCTTGAAGTTCTCAGATTCTGTGCCTCTGTACTGATTGACTTGGTTGCCCTGACTGTTGAATTGGTGCTTTATAAATAGAGCTTTAAAAAATATGTGGAAAAGAGAATGGGCCTTACTGGAAAGTTAGTAGTGCACTGGGACTAATTCTCATTCTAGAAATGAGAAAGTTAGAGAAAAAATCACAGGGACGATTTTTATTCTTTTCTTGGTTCTCGAGGCACATTAATTTTCCCTTAGTGGCTAGAATAATAGGATTGCATGAAGACATTCATTTATTTGATTGGTTCATAATTGCAAGCAATACAGTTAGTCCAACTGTAAACAAAACCTGAATTATATTGAATGAGTAAGTAAATGATGATAAATAATTATAAGGAAATATTTCTGGTGGATATATAGTTAATTTGGGTTTTCAAGGAAGCGAAGAGGGTTTGGATGAAAGTACCTAGGCCCAGAAAATTGAAACATGAAGGTGGGGAAATTCTTCATCTTTTCAGAGTTAAACAATGTTCTACTCAGTTACGCAGTGATCATACAAATTCACTGGAGGGCTTAAGGAGTTCCTAAATGCTTGCAAGCTAACACAACATCTACATCCCTTTTTCTCATGAAAGTTTGCCACAGGAGAGCAGAGAGATCTGGAATTACTTAACCTCTAAGCCTGTTTCTCTACCTGCTCTGTGAGGTGATTAGGATTAAATGGTAAAGCTTTTTAGCATGATGTCTACCCATAGGAGTCACTCTAAAATACTATGATATAGTCACTTATTACTTTTGTAGTTTAGAAAAATAATATATACTATTTCATATTACTATTGCCTACATTAACTTCATAAAATTTTGTTTTCCTTTAATGAGTCCTAGCTTATGTAAACATAAATAGAGATAATGATACTGACTCCTAAGTAATTTGATGCTGTACCTTGGCAAATTTTAGAGGAGAAATAAAGCAATATTTTTTATGGCCAAAAATACTTTCTTCCTGAAATCATCAGTCGTTAAAGTTTCCATAAAATTGTCTCACTTTTCCACTAATCTTTGAATTTTAGAAATTATGTGTTTCTGGAGTAATAAAATGTATCTTAATGCTTTTCTGATATTTTATTCTTTAGTTATTATTAATATATTACTGGAAAAGTAAAACTTTCTTTGAATGTTCACTAACTGTTCATTCACCCAGTTAGGGTTTGTTGAGGACGTACTATACACTGATGCATAATTATTTTCCTCAATCAGAAAATTTGATAGGACCAGATCATGTTTATTCAGTGAATATTTATTAAGCACCTACTGTGTGTCAGGTCTTGTGCACCCAAGAGTTTGCAGACCTGGGCTGATTTCTGGAATTTTTGCTTTCTTTGGTGCTATTCACCAAGTAGGTCACTTGCATTCAAGTAGGCGTGTTGCTTTTGATCCTCTGTGAGTCAGCAATGTTTGGCAGCAGTTAGGGGGAAATTATGAAGCATTTTACAAACAATACCCTCGAGGTTTACACATTTTGCTTTTGGTATTATGTTTTGTTATTTATCTTTCAATCCTTTCCCTGTTGACCTAATTGAGTAGAGAATATCCATGTGAAGAAAAACATTGCTTTCTCAGAAAGTATGATCAAATGTTTAAATTATTCACAAGGCCTCTTACTTTCTATTGAATCATAATTCTAAAGAAGCTTGTTGATTTTCTTTTCAATTTTTTCTTTTGATATTGTCAGTACAATTGTTCATTTCTACTTGGTATAGTAATAAACCAGCAGGCTTGTAGGGATCTGGAGATTCCACTTCATTTTGCTTGTGCATTTCCAACTCAGAGTCCTATCAAAACCTGACCACCAAAGTCTGTGGCTCAAGGGACTGGATGGTTAGCTCAGTTGGTTAGAGCATGCTGCTGATAACACCAAGGTTAAACCCCGGGGTTTAAACCCTGTAAGGCCAGCCACCAAAAATAAATAAGTAAATAAACAAATAAACAAAATAACTAAAGCCTATGGCTTAGAACACAGCGATTCCAACAATGAATATCTTCAGATGTTGTCCTATCAGATGTTTCAAATAATTATTCACGCAGATATCTTCTGCAATGAATCATCTTTTATAAAAACTTATATTATGGAAAATTTTAAGTATGAAATAGAATAACGAGCCCCCATGCTCCATCATTCCTTTTGTTAATCTCATTTTATCTTTCACCCTTAATGCGTTTTCAGTTTTGTTTCCTGTGATATTTGAAAGCAAATCCAAACATGTAATTTCACCTGTAAATATGTCAGTATGTATCAATAACTGATAAGTACTTTAAAAATTATGCCTAACAATTTTCTGATTTTGTTACATGTCTTTTTGCAATTGGTTTGTTCAAATAAGGATCCAAAAAAGTTCTACATATTGTATTTGATTCTTATGTCTCTCAAGTTGCTTATAATCTGTGAAACAGTTCCACATTTTTATTCCATTCTACTGACTTGTTGAAGAAATAGCTTTAATTGTCTTGCAGAATATCCTACAGTTTAGATTTAGCCAATACTTTCTATAAACAATTAGATTGAGACTGTATTTGATTCAAGTTAAAGATTGTAGGCAAGTGTGCTGCAGATGGTTCTGTATTCTCCCTATTGCATTATAGATCTGACCATTGTGCCTATTGTTAATGATAATATTGAAACATAATACCTGCCTTCTTTGGTGGAAAGGATTTCAGGAATTCATGTTGGTGGAGTCATAAGTTATACAGCTTGCATTTTAGTGTTTTAAATTATCAATTGTTACTCCAAGGTCATTTTTTAAGTATGTTAGCCTGTTAGGAAGACGCAATTCTAAATGGTTTTATTGTCCCAGGACACAAACAATGTTATCACCAAATATTTACAATAAAAACAATTCTCTTTTAAATTCATCTATCTAAATTGGCTCAACAAACTCTAAAGAGTAAAACTAAGTCTCAGTGAAAAGGCTACTTTTTGTACCTTAATGCTGTGTTGTTAAAATTTTTAGTCATAGAGCCCAAAAAGAAAATTTATCTACCCAAACGTGATGTTTAATATGCTGGTTAATCTGCTGGATGTCCTGATTAGTCAAAGGAGGTTTCAAAAGGAATACCATGTCATAAGGAAGAGAGTAAACTTGCTCTTCAGTGAGGGGGGCATATTCCCCAAAATATGGTTTTAGTGCTTATGAAGAAGGAAACTAGAATAAAAATTGATGTTTCCTAATGAATAAAAATAAATTGCTTCAAGATTTCTATTTCATAAGGTTGTGCTTATTTGTCTGTTTGTAGGAAGAAGTCTTTCCTGTTTTCTGCTCTGTATGCTGCCTTTATATTTGGTGGTCGGCACCTGATGAATAAGCGGGCGAAGTTTGAACTGAGGAAGCCATTAGTGCTCTGGTCTCTGACCCTTGCAGTCTTCAGGTAGATTTATTTTTCATTTTCCTAATAAAAATCAATCCATTTCATCAGATTTGCTAAAAGAAAGCAATAATTGAGCATTTTATTTTATATCTGATATTTTTGATTATTGAATACATTGAAAACATAAGATAAAATAAAGCCTTGTCCAGATGGAAAGCTTTCTTTGCAAACAAATTTGCCACAATATACTCGGTCTCTAATTTTGACAGTTCTTACGCCATGTTCATTACCATTCAAGTTGATCATGCAGTTATCGATTCATCTGTTAGGAACAGAAACAGTGAATCAAATTTCATTGTTTTTGTTGCACACATATAGATGAAGGGCTAAGTGGAAAACCACACAAGTAAACTGTCAAAGTCTATTGAAGAGCAGGGTTCAAAAGTCATGGGTGTGCTGTTACAGATTAAAACCTAATCAAAAGATGACACTCAGACATATGACCGAACACTGGACATCTGTCTGTGTCAGCATCTCTAGACCAGATAATGCTTTTGCTTTTCATCCCCAAAAGCACCCTCCACCCCCATTCTCTGAACTGACTTGCAGGTCTATGTTTATGTAGCCAGTTTTTACTTTGCATCTGGTAGAATTCAACATAAGGCTGTCAGAAGAAGCAAGGCCTGGTCTCTCCAGGGGCATCTGTTAGCCGACATGCAGACACATTCCCCTGCTATAAAGAGCATTTCTGGTTTTTTGGTATTTGGTGATCTAGGCAATCACAAGTCTAGCGCACAGCCGGTGTCTAAGCAGGTGCCAGAATTTACCTACAGCACTAACAAAGGCACCTGTTCTATTTGTGTTTTGCTTGTCAAAACCAGGAGGTTTATAATTAGGCTTGAGGGTTTCGGGGAGCAGATGTAGACACACTACACAACACAAAACTATTCATCTTAATACTTATGAATATTTATTTGTTTTTTTCATATTATATATTAACTGTTCTAAGCAGAAATGGATAGTATCATTAAAAGCCTCATTAGACACTTAAGTCTTATTTAAAATGGTCAAGCAGGAAGACGATTTTCCTATTAAACTCCTATGATCTGTACATTTCTATTATGTTGGATCCTGCACTTAAAACACCTATCTGCTCACCACTACTCAATATTTTTATTTCAGCACATTTTATAAGGTTCTAGGTTTGAAGTACCCATTATTGGGATCTGTCGCTAAAGACTTTTTCCAGTTCAATCTGTATCAGGTCATGATACTCTATAATTTCAAGTCACATTTTCATTTTTATTTACATTTAAGGTTGATAGAGTATGCCCCACCTAATTTGTTTTGATATTGGGGTTGGGGGCATTTATCTCTATCCTAATGAGATAATTATCTATCCTCTATCCTCTATCTGTATCCTAATTATCTCTGTCCTTAAATGAGGCCTTTCAGCAGTTTCATGATATTTTTTCTTTATTTCCTGAGCCTTTATTTTTTGTTATTTTAAACTTTAACACATATAAGCAGAGAAGAGAGCACAATGACTCCCATGTACCCATGACCCTGCTTAAACAGTTATCGACAGTTGGCTAATCTTGTTTCATCTATACCCCTAACTTCCCCCTTACCCTCAAATTATTTGGAAATAATACAGGCTGAAATAATTCTGACTGAAATGATACCATGGCTAAAAGATAAGTACTCTTTAAAAAACAACAGCAACAACAAAAAGAACACAGTTATCATCTCACCTAAATTAATAATCTCATTGAACGTTCATACTTCCCCCAACTGTCTCATAAATGATTTGTTTTTTACAGTTTATTTTTAAGAATCTGAGTCAAAATAAGGTCCCTACATTTTCATTGATCGATTTCTTTTAACTGAGGGGTTTCTTCCTTCCAATCCTCCTGCCTCTTTTTTCTCTCTTACAATGCATCCTTTGAAGAAGCCAGATCATTTACCTCATAGTTTCCCCTGGGCCAGATTTTGCTTGATTGCATTATAAGTTGGTCGTTACAGCTAGAAGGTTGATTGCATTTAATTCTGATATTTGACAAGACTTTCTATAAATAGAAACTGGGCGTCATCGCTGTTCACTTGTCTTGAAGTATACACAGTTGTTATGCAAAGGCAAGATAATTGCTAGATTTTTTTTGCCTGCATTCACCAGTTTTAAAAAACTGGACTTCTGGATTACCCAGAAAATGAACAATAAGGTTTTCTTAAGTATCATTATGAACTCTTGGATTTTTTATGTGTCAGTGATTTTGTGATGTTTAATTTTGATGTGTTTTAGTGCATTTGTTGCTTTTCTTTTTGATGCCGATAGTTTTTTGGTTGTTGTTTTTTTTTTACGGTATGACAAGATGTCCTAGGCCAGACTAGCTGGATATTCCTTGTCCAGAATTGGAATCAGCCATTTCTTCAAAGAACCCTGGTTTCTTTAGAGGAGGGGAGATAATATTTAGAAACCGCTATCTGAGAACTATGGGTGGTTGGTAGTGCTAAGCTAGTTCTTATTTCTAGGCCTTTTCAGAAATTCAGAAACCAGAAACAAATTAATTTGTTTATCTTTTAAAGAACTGTATCCAGAGTTGATGCCAATACAGTACTCCCCTCTCATCCATGGGGGCTACGTTCCAAGACCCCCAATGGATGACTGAAACCTCAGATAATACTGGACCCTGTATATACTGTGTTTTTCCTATACATGCATACCTGTGATAAAGCTTAATTTATAAATCAGGCACAGTAAGAGATTAACAATAGTAACCAATAATAAAATAGAGCAATTTAAAAAATACTCTGTAATAAAAATTATATAATGTGGTCTCTCTCTCTCTCTGTCAGTACCTTACTTCACTGTACTCACCCTTCTTGTGATGATGTGAGATGATAAAGTGCCTGCAGGATGAGATGCAGTGAGGCAGATGACATAGGCATTGAAACATAGCGTTAGGCTATTATTGAACTGAGGATGTGGCTGTGAGGATGGCCGTGGTTGGATGTTAGTGACTAACGGGCTGGTACCAGGACAAAGGGATGACTCACATCCCGGGGGGAGTTGAGGAGGGAGGCATGAGATGCCATCATGCTACTGCAAATAGCTCAACATTGAAAACCTGAAGTATTTGTTTTTGGAATTTTCCATTTAATATTTTTTGAGCGTGATCAGTCACGGATAGAGGGGTGACCACTGCACTGTATGTGCTAGAAAATAAAAATAAAAAAATTTCAGTGCTTATAGAACTCGGTTCTAGCGGGCTGGCGATTTAGAAGTGAAAAAGATGCGAATTATCTCAGTGATGCATTACCTTATTCAAAACAAATGAAACATCATAACATGGACAACTCTAAATCCTGGGTATTGGACATTTGTTATTATTTGTGTTTTTCTGCATTTAAAACATTTCTTACAATATTATACATACATGTATTTGCACACAATCTCATACGTAATTTTAGAGAATCTCAAGTGATAGTTGCTAGTTTTTAGAAATCCAGATATATTATAAATGAAGTTGGTATAAAGCATTCATCAAAAATATGCCCTTCAAATAACAGATATTTTAGTGAGTATTAATAAAGAATCTATTTTGGCCATAAGGGAAAACATTATTACAAGAATTACGTTTTTGTGGAAAGTTTTGTGTGGCTCTTACTTTACTTTAATTCACAAATTTTCAAACAGTATCTAATATAAAGGCACAGAAATTCTTGCTCAGGAGAATCCTTGTATTAGATGGTCTGCAATTAGGTGATACACTAAGGGCCCTACCATCATCTACTCCACCTCTTCCTTCTTTGCCATTGCAGGACTGGAGACCACCAACTGGGAAAAAAGAGGAAAGAGAGAGCGAGAGAAATAAACTTTTCAGTTAGAAAAATTAGGAATGGGGGAGGAAGTGGAGGAACAGTACGATTTCTCTTTCAAAAAATAACTTAAAAACCACTTTTTTGTGTGTATTTTGCTGCTTGGGAATAGTCTCTTCTCTCAACTTCTCAAACTTGCCTATATAGCTTGTTACAATAGCCTGGGACCCAACTATGACTGATTTTCAAACAAACAGAGACAACTTGGATATGAATTAAATCAGATCCACAGCCTACTTAAGCAAAAACCAAAATCCCTGCTTTATACAGTCTACTCCAGAAAGTGGTGGGGGGTTTTGTATCATTTGGCAAGAATTACCTGTAGAATATTTTTTATTCTCCTTTTCTCTTTACCCCTGGGTGTTCACTGAAACAACACTCATGATATCAGTCTTCATTCAGGCCATGTACAGGGTAATTTATTGTACTGGGTCGATTATGTCCCCCCCAAATCCACTGAAGCTTGAATTGTGTCCCCCACTGTGATTGTTAAGAGGGTGGGAAATCCTATTATGGTAATTGAAGGGTAGAGCCTTGAAGAGGTGATTAGATTGTAGGACTGTGCAGTAGTGAATGGATTAATAATGGTGGTCAGGGGTGTGGTTCTGAGGGCTTGAAAAGAAGAGAGAAGAGGGTCTGTCTCTCTCTCTCTCTTGCTGTCTATCTGCTCTCTCTGCTTCCACCATCTGATATGTGAGAGCCCTGGGTCACTGTCACTACCACCAGATGGACTTTGGACTTCCCAGCCTCAGAAACTGTAAGCAATAAATTTTGTTTTCTTCATAAATCACTTGGTTTCAAGTTTTTCATTATAAGCAACAGAAACAAACTAGTACATTTACACTGAGCCCTGCCATAAGTTTTGATGGAGTAGATAAAATACAACCAGCTGAATTTTCCCCAGGCCCACAATGGATTCATTTCATTTCAGAGTGATTTCTCTGGGGTTCCTGACAATCTTTCCCCACTTTCCCTACCCCCAACCCTTTCAGAACCAAATCATCAGCTTATGGTGTCAATTAGTCTTTATAAACTTGACTGGGATGGTAGCACAGCAAACTACATCCACCCAACCCAAGGATAAGCATTTATTTGATGAGATAATTCCACATGGCGCTTGGCCTTAGCTGTTTGAACATTTTCTTAGGGTAAATACTAAATTCTGGTAACATGAATTAGTA